ATCTGCAGAAATGGGGAATGCTGATGGAACATTTGTTGTTGGATATTGTTATCAAAATGGAATTGGAGCTGATAAGGATGAATATAAGGCATTTGTTTATTATCGAAAATCGGCAGAGATGGGGCACGCTATTGGAACATATAATGTTGGATATTGTTATCAAAATGGAATTGGTGTGGAAAAGGATGATCATAAGGCATTCATTTATTACAAAAAATCTACAGAGATGTGGGATACAAGGGGAATATATGATGTTGGGTATTGTTATCAAAATGGAATTGGAGTTGAAAAGAATGATCATAAGGCATTCATTTATTATCAAAAATCTGCAGAGATGGGGCACGCTAGTGGAACATATAATGTTGGATGTTGTTATCAAAATGGAACAGGAGATGAAAAGGATGGTCATAAGGCATTCATTTATTATCAAAAATCTGCAGAGTTGTGGCATGTTAAGGGAACATATAATGTTGGATATTGTTATCAAAATGGAATTGGAGTTGAAAAGGATGATCATAAGGCATTCATTTATTATCAAAATCTGCAAAGATGGATAACGTCAGAGGAACATATAATGTTGGATATTGTTATCAAAATGGAATTGGAATTGAAAAGGATGAACATAAGGCATTCATTTATTATCAAAAGTCTGCAGAGATGGATGACGCTAGCGGAATGTATAATGTTGGATGTTGTTATGACAATGGAATTGGAATTGAAAAGGACGAACATAAGGCATTCATATATTATCAAAAATCTGCAGAAATGGGTAACGCTAGTGGGTTGTATAATGTTGGATGTTGCTATGACAATGGAATTGGAATTGAAAAGAATGAGCATAAGGCATTCATTTACTGTATTACCAAAAATCTGCAGAGATGGGGCATGTTAAAGGAATGAATAATGTTGGTGTATGCTATCGCTTTGGAGAAGGGGTAAAAAAAGATGAAAATAAGGCATTTTTTTATTATCATAAAGCTGTCGAAATGGGGAATATTAGTGCGATTCTTAACCTTTGAGAATGTTATCAGAATGGAATTGGAGTTAAAAAGGATTTAAAAAAAGCTTTTGGATTGTATTTGAAAACTGCAAAACTTGGTCGAGTTGGCGGAATGAAAAGTGTTGGACTTTGTTATCGAAATGGTATTGGAACAAAAAAAGATTTAAAGGAAGCCGAGTACTGGTTTCGAATGTAAGTTTATTCATTAAAAATTTTTTTTTATAAAATAATAAATATTTAATATTTAATAATAATAATTAATAGGGAAAGAAATGTATTTCAAGGTATTTAATTTTAATTTTATTTTCCCATTATTTTATTTTGTTAAATATTTACGTTTAAAATGTATCGATTTACAATATATAGAAATAAAGAAACCTTCTCATTTAGATATTGATGACAATGTGAAAGAAATATTGGATGATGAAAAATATCAATTACTATGGATTCCATACAATAAATTTGAAAATATTAAAGAAATTGGGAAGGGTGGATTTGCAACAGTTTATCATGCTAGATGCTGGATACATTACAAGAATTCTTATGGTAAATATTCATTTGCAATTAAAAAAATTCATGATCAAGATTTCTTTGATGAGGTAAATTTAAAATATTTTGCTTAATATTTAACTTTATTGTTAATATATTTTTTTAAAAAAGTTGAAGACATTTTGTGAAATCGGATATAAAAATCCATCATTCTTAAAATGTTACGGATTGTCAAGAGACGATTCAGGAAATTACATTCTTATTTTGAAATATGCGGAAAAGGGATCTTTACGTAATAATCTTCATGATGTGTCGCGAATGAAATGGAAAGAAAAATTGAGTTTATTAAGTTGCATAACATCGGATCTTGAAGCAATACATTCACAAGGATTAGAACATCGAGATCTTCATAGTGGAAATATTTTGCAAGACGATTTAGATAATGCCTATATTACAGATTTGGGACTTTCTAATACAGAAAAAGGATTATAAGGAGTTTTACCTTATGTAGCCCCAGAAATTTTAAAAGAAAAATCCTATACCTATACTCAAGCAGCTGATATTTATGCTTTGGGTATCATTATGACAGAAATATCAAGTGGAAGAAAGGCTTTCGACGGTTATAATTTTGATGAACTTGCGATAAAAATTTGTCATGGATTACGACCAGAATTTATATCTGGTACACCTGATTGCTATATTGAATTAGCCAAACGATGCATGAATTTATACCCGATAAGACGACCTACTATCCGATCTATTAATAGTTTAATTACACATTGGATTGAAGAAATAGAAAACTATGATGATGAAAATAAAGTAAAAAAACAATTTTTAGAAGCTGATAAAATTAAACCTATTATTGAATCACCAAAACATCCGAATAACATATATGTCAGTAAACCCCTCAATTCGCGAGAGATGATAAATAATTTATCTAACTTGCTTGAAGCTCCTGATAATTATTAAGTCAAAGTTTTTTTTTTTTATCCAAAATTACTGAAAGGAACAATAGAATATAATTTGAGAGAAAATCTTTTTTATTTTATGCTAGTATATAGTAGATGAAACGTGGATATAAGTTGACCCCCTTCCGCCTATTTTTTTAAAATTTATATGAACCCAATACACATTAATAGTAATTAATATTATCCGGCAGCCTATTATTATTGTGCTGCCAAAATAATTTCTTGTTATCTGGCATGATTTGACGGATACATGGGTATCGGCAGGATAATAGCAAAAGCACGTGGCCGAAGGCTTCGTGCGTTGCAATTAAACTGTCGATGTCCATGATCCGTATATCATGCCAGATAACATAAATTATTTTTGAATTTTACGAATGATATGTATCAATTTTTAATCAGCATAAATTACTGTTTACGTCTACATTTCATTGATGATTGAGTGTAAGTTTTTAAAAAGTCTTATCTAAACAAGAAATAACAGTAAAATCTAGATTAAAAATATACAAAAAAAAAGGTTTATCTCGATGTATTAAGTAGTGACACACGAATAATTATTACGTTATATAATGAAGAATAAGTTCTCAAATGAACAATTTCCGAATATAAAATTTTTGCAAAATCAAAAAGGAAAAAGAAATCCTTTTAAAGATGTTCGTATATCATATAGTGATAAATAAAAGGTAAGTATCACATTATATAATGAAGGACAAGTTCCCGAATGAAGTATTTGTCGGATATTAAAGCATTTGCAAATCAAAAAGGAAAAAAGAATCCTTTTAAAGATATACACAACATACTAAAAAAAGGTTTGGTTCTATTTGTTAATAGTGATAAACAAAAGGTAAGTGTTACGTTATGTAATTAAAATCAAGTTCCCGAATGAAGTATTTATCAGATATTAAAGCATTTGCAAAGCAAAAAGGAAAAAAGAATCCTTTTAAAGATATTCATACACTTTACACTAGTAACTGGTTCGCGATAAATCTCATACAAACTACAGATATTTAAGAACGTTAAAATTTGCTTCTTTCCATTCTTGTAATAAATAAAATCTTAAAAATAAATGAATGAAAGATGTTAACTGACTTATTTCGGAAATCACGTGAAACTGATCTGAAGTCAGTTGTAAAATGTCAACGTTTTGTTATCATACTATTCATGTTTTTATTATTTGTTATTTTTGTTATATTATGCAGTGAATTATCTAAAGAACAACCTAGTATTAGTATAGACTTCAATTTATCTGATAAAATTCCTTTACCAAGTATGAATTGTTAAGTTAAAATTATAATAATTTCAAAACTGATAATATACATATAAACTTAAATCAATATAGGCATCCATTTTAGACATGCATATAATTTTACTATTGACTGTTATTGGTATCGTAAGTATTCTGATTATTTTTTTGACTTATTTCAATTCATGCATATAACACATATCTGTTTTAAATTGGGTTATTTTAGTACCTACCGATAATTACTCTGGTAGTTGTCCCGACTATATCAATAATTTCAAATATTCTCCTTCCGGGGTTTCTGATCGTCCTTACGGAGGAGCATTTTTACCAAATTTTGATGTAACTCTCAAGACAGGAATTCCTGAGACTATACTAGTTATTTATGTCACAGACCCTGGATATAACGTTTCTAGTCAATCAACTTCCATGTTAATGGACGCATATGATAGAGGCAAGATTTTATAACGTTCAATAGCATATTTTAATTATATTAAGAGTTTAATAATAGTAATATGGAAATGATAAATGATTTAGATTATGATCTATATCTTAATCCATCTAGATATAATAATCCACCAACTCCATTTGATTATTCGCTTAACTTGAAAAATATGTTTCTTTTATCGCAACCTAAAAATGACAGAGTTGTATGTATACTAAGCAATTTGAAAAGTAATAATTTTATTAATCTATTTATTTAAAAAATTATAGATATATTTTTGGAAATTTGAAAGAATTATAAGGAAATCTATAATTCCGGATATTTTAAGTTTCTTTGGTTATGCAAATTATAAAGATCTACCTTATCTTGAATCAAATATACGTAAGAATATTTATATTCACCTTTTTTTAATTCTTTATTCATATTAAAATTATTTTCTTATTAATTCTAGAGATTGTTCCACTTGATGATACAAATTCGTTAAACAGTATGAACACTCCTATTAAAAATCATGTCTATTATTCATTGTTAATATCCAAAATATCGATGGTTTGATTAATAACTATAGAGACTGCAAACAGAACTTTATATGCAGAAATACGGTTTTTCACAGATCCTTCCAGCCCTACAAAGGAAGAAAAAGAGATTAAGTAAATAATTTAAAGTAATAATTCTGCTAATATTTTATCATAATTATTGACTGTTCACGCATATAATAATAGGAACAAATCCGTAAGCGATATATGTATTAACCTCAAAAAAAAAAAAAAAAAAATTTACTATCATTATTTTTTTTTAAATAAATAGGTTTTAAACTTACTAGGTATTATTGGCGGTATTTGGAGCGCCATGGCAGCTTTTTATGCACTTTTATTTGGTAAATAAATCTTTTAAAGTTAAATCATGATTGAATAATTAATTTACACACTTGTTTTGTTATTTTAAAAAAATCATTAGGATTTGGTATAATCTCTCCGTGGGGTTTAGTACAAAAATCGAAGTTATTTAAAAATAAATATAAAGATAAACTCTTACCATTTGCAGCTGACTTACAGTCTGAAGAACATGGTACTGAAGAAAAACTTGACACCAAAGAACGCAGGAATTCCTCAATGCAAAAACGGCTTGATAATTTAGAAAGGAGAGTCCAATTCTATGATAATGTTATCGATATCTCATTATTAACTTCTGTTAAAACAGATGCATCTCCCGCTATTGATGATAGCAACTCTTCGTAATGTGGAATAATGGCGGAAAAAATAAAGATACATATGTTATATCTGCATTGTATATATTCCAACCTGAATTATGCCCCATTTTCAGTAAAATAAATTTCCCTTATTAATTTACATGTTCCGTTTTATGTTAATTTTTTTAGTTATATTTCTATCCCCAATAGTAACTATATCATAATAGTATATAAAATACCCAAGATATATCGCAATATTGTAACATAAATAATACTATTGATTAATAAATTATTGAACTAGCTATATAAATTCAAATTTATTAATAATAACATAAATATTAGACTTTTGATTTGGTGATTTAATTTAACCGATTTTATTACCAATATGGTTGTCATAATGAGATAATTTCAATGAGCCTAGGGTGTGAAAATATTAATTCACAAAATATATTTAGTGAAAATCAACTTTGTATTTTTGCAACAAATTTCTTAAAGATGATACTCCAAAATAATATATTATAATTATACGTATATATATTATAAGCTAATTTTTTTATAAAATAGTTTTAATATATTAAATTAAATACAAAATAGTTTTTTGCTAATGCTAAATTTTTTTAAACAAATAGTAAAGGCCTCACTTTAAACCAAAAAAATATATAAATACTATTATCCCTTAGTCCGTATGTAAATTCGGGGCAAATTTGCCCCTAATTTTATATGATCATTTTTACATAATTTAATTATAATTAATCTATTATAAATCTATTCCAAAATCAGTAAAAAACAATAAAAAACAAATATTTAATAAATTTATTTATTTTTTCTATGAAAATCTTTAAAACAATGAGGTCATACATTAGAGGAACAAAGAGGTACACTACATCTAATACACCAGAGTTGAGTCT